AAAAAAAATTTTTATTGATCTTTCAGATAAATGATGAATGTTTATATAAAATTTTACATCTCTTTCAGAGTGTCATGTGATTACGTGTCAAGTGGAAGCAGTGGGTGAAATGCCAATACAAAGTGGTTTTATTTGAATTAATAATACTTTAAAGATAAATGTAATTTTTGCTGACCTCTTTTTTCTGGGTTTCACAAACAAGTTAAAGAATTTCACATCCCTAGCAGCTAGATTGTTTTTTCTTCTCTGAAAAAGAATGTGTGTTTGCTGCATTAAAATTATAAACTGGGTACAACCTTGTAAAATATCCTAATAAATGTACATGTTCAAATGATTATATATGTATTGTGGTTATGTTGCCTATTAGTATAGTAAACACATACATTCTGTGAAACCCTTTTAAAATTTTGCATGACAATAAATTGCCAAGCAACTGCACTAATTGACCCTCACATAGTATAAATAAATATATTCAGTTATTGATGATGGCAAATTATAAACAAAATACATTCATGTTCATTTTTTGATTTAACATAGTCACCTTCCAGCTATTCACACTGAGTGAGGATGGCGTTGCTTCAAGAATTCAGAATATTGGCCGGGGAATGGTGGCTTATACCTGTAATCCATCACTTTGGGAGGCCAAGGTGGGCAGGTCGCTAGAGCCCAGGAGTTCAAGACTAGCCTGGGAAACATGGCAAAACCCTGTCTCTTCAAAAAAAAAGTTTTTAAAATTAGCTGGTTGTGGTGGTGCACGCCTGTAATCTTAGCTACTTAAGCTGAGGTGGGAGGATCACTTGAGTTGGGATGTCGAGGCTACAGTGAGCCAAGATCACAACACTGCACTCCAGCCTGCGTGACAGAGTGAGACCTTATCTCAAAAAAAAAAAAAAAAAAAATTTAAAAAATTTTTTTTTTTTTTTTTTTTTTTTTTCAGAATATTATGTGCTGTCACAATTTAGTTGTGCCTGGTACTTTAAAACTAACCATAAGTCTCTCTTCCTGTCTACTATGCATTTCTGATGGCTAATAGGCTAAGTTTCGGTTTTTGCAATAAATTTATTTAAAATTATACATATGTCTTTTAATTGACAAGTAAATTCTATATATGCTTTGATATACGTATACATTGTGGAATGGCTAAATCAAGTTATATAACATTTTTGTAACCTCATAGGTTTATCGTGTATCTTTTTTTTTTTTTTGTGGTAAGAACACATAAAATTCACTCTTTTATCAGTTTTCATATAGACAATATATTGTTCTTAACTGTAGTCACCATGATGTACAGAAGGTCTCTTTTTGTTGTTGTTGTTTATTAAGAGAAACTGTTTCTTAGCCCACATATTCACATTTCATAGTTCAGAAATACAAGTCAGTTACAAACTTCTAGGTCATTCAACCTGAAGAAATTCTTTATATTCCATAATTTGTTTGCACTGTGAAAGATACCAGCCTTCCCTCATCTCCTCAAAATCTTTCATGGAATCATAATTTCCGTAGAAATCTTCATGTGCCTTCTTTCTTGGTTTAGCTACAGCAAACTTATAAAGAGTTGCTACCCACAGGGATACAATGAATGCTCCTACAATATGAAATTGCAGACACTTGGCCAGAAGGCCACACGTCCGAGATTTCATCATAGCACTGGGAGTCATGGTAGTTACTGTCCTTGGTAGCTTCGTCAACCTCTACACCAACATCCTTCCTGGCTGATGGAGAAATCGAATCTCTTGAACTTACTCCTCCTGTCTAAATGAAATGTTGTGCCCTTTGACCAACATCTCTCCAGTCCCCTACCCTCTGGTAACCTCCATTTTACTCTCTGTTTCTGTAAATTTGACTTTTTTTATATGCTGCATGTAAGTGAGATCATATAGTATTTGTCTTTCTATGTCTGGCGTATTTCATGTGTTGTCCTCCAGCTTCACCCACATTATCACAAATGACAGGATTTCCTCCTTTGTAAAGCTGAATAGTATTCTATTGTGTATATACACCACATTTTCTTTATCTTTCCAATCTTGGATAGACTGCCAGATTTATTCTATATCTTGGTATTATGAGTAACGCTGCAGTGAACATGGGAGTGCAGATGTCACTTCCACATTCTGATTTCATGTCCTTTGGGTCTATACCCACTAGTGGAATGCTGAATCATATGGCAGTTCTATTTTTAATTCTTTGAGGAACCTCCATATTATTTTCCATAATGGCAGTACTAATTTACATTTCCACCAACAGTGTGGAAGAGTTTCATTTTCTGCACATCATCACCTACACTTATCTTTCATCTTTTTGATAACAGCCATTCTACCAGGTGTGAAGTGAGGTTTTAGTTTGCCTTTCCCTGAAGAATGCTGGTATTGATCATTTTTCCATATACCTGTTGGCCATTTATATGTCTTCTTTTGAGAAACGTCTATTCAGATCCTTTTCCCATTTTCTAAACAGTTTGTTTTCTTGCTATTGAGTCATGTGAGTTTCTTATGTATTTTGGATATTAACCACTTAGCAGATGTCTGGTTTGCAGTACACTATTTTCTCTCATTTCTAGTTGTCCCTTCACTCTGTTGATTGTATTGTTTGCTATGCAGAAGCTTTTTAGTTTGATGTAATCTCATTTGTCTATTTTTGCTTTTGTTGCCTGTGTAAAGTTACAAATACTTGTTAAAATTCATTCATTAAGAAAGAAAAATGTAATTTGATCTCTTCTTTTTATTTTAACTGGAAGTAGGAAGGGAAAATTGTATAAGTGTCAGAACCTTATTTTAATATTTTACTTCCTGCTAATTTATTCAGTATGGCACTTCCCAGAGACCGTATTGGGCCTGAGTGACAAAAATGACATTAAAATCAATAGTAAGGGAAGAAAAAACATAGAAAAACATACTGCTTTAAAATTTGACAATTTTTTCTCAAGTTTCAATAATACATTTAAACCTTCTTTACGTCAGCAAATTAGCATTTAATTTATGTTTAGCATCCTTGCTATATCCCAGGACTATGTCAAGTGCTGTTTTCTTAAGTGCACAGGTACAATATGGTGACTATAGTTAATAACAATGTATTGTATACTTGAAAACCGCTAATGGGGGATGTCATATGGGGAGATGTAGGTCAAAGTATACAAAGTGGCAAATCTGTAGTATGATTAAGTCTAGAGATCTAATGGACAACATGAAGACCATAGTTCATAATATTGTCTTAAATTTGGGGTTTTTGCTAGAAGAGTAGGTTGTAGGTGTTCTTGCTACACGCACAGAATGGGTAACTGAAATGATGGATTCATTGACTTGCTTGACTGTAGGAAACATTTCACTGTGTATATGTGTATCAAAACATCATGTTATACACATTAAATATATAAAACTTTAAAATTGAATTTATAAGAAGAATTGTCAGGAGAATAGATTTTAAGTGTTCTCACCACAAAAAAAAATTAAATATATGAGGTAATGTATGTGTTAATTAGCTCAATTATAGCCCTTCCACAAATATATATATTTCAAACATCTGCCTTGCATGCATGTTTACATCAAGATTACTGGGAGAATATCAAGACCTTTAAACTAACACATAACATTTCCTTTTTTTTTTTTTTATTTTTTTTTTTTTTTTTGAGACGGAGTTTCGCTCTTGTTACCCAGGCTGGAGTGCAATGGCGCTATCTCGGCTCACCGCAACCTCCGCCTCCTGGGTTCAGGCAATTCTCCTGCCTCAGCCTCCTGAGTAGCTGGGATTACAGGCACACACCACCATGCCCAGCTAATTTTTTGTATTTTTAGTAGAGACGGGGTTTCACCATGTTGACCAGGATGGTCTCGATCTCTTGACCTCGTGATCCACCTGCCTCGGCCTCCCACAGTGCTGGGATTACAGGCTTGAGCCACCACGCCCGGCCAACACATAACATTTCTATAGAAATAGTTGTTGTCTTTTCTTCACTGGTACTTGTATAACTCATTTTTGTGACAGTTATTTTGGAAGGCAGTTCTGACAACCGATGGACTCATTAAGGAACCTCATCTCGTTGTGAGAGTCTATGTTTGACCAAAAAAAAAAAAAAAAAAAACGTATATTGCCTACCTTGATTTGCCATACCTCATTTCCAAAATACTTTTGTTCATTTTCCCAAAAATGAAATTACACTGGGTTAATAAGACTAGCTCTCCGTGAGTCTAGCTAAGAGTCAGCCATAAGCTCTGAGGGCTGATTTAAGGAAATGTTTATAATCTTGTCAAGATAGTCTTCAGCAGTTGTTCAGACTTGGGGAATGAAACACCTGGGACCTCAAAGTTCTGATTATGTGTGAAAAAAATCATCAACACTGTCATATACTTGTACCTCAGGTAGGTAGGTGACTGTATTTGTTGTTGTTGTTGATGTTATTTGTTCATTCTCTATTTGTCATAATCACCTGGCTGGGCATGGTGGCTCATGCCTGTAGTCCCAGCACTTTGGGAGGCTGAGGTGGGAGGATTGTTTGAAGCCAGGAGTTCAAGACCAACCTGGCCAACATAATGAGACCCTATCTGTATATAAAAAATAATAAAAATAATCACCTGATTATTTTTGAAATATTCTCTAGTGTCTCACAATAACCATCTTACTGTTCTTTCTCTTTGTGCTTTCCTCTGCAGGTGAAGGTTGCTATCCTTAAATACATAGAAACTCTGGCGAAACAGATGGATCCAGCAGATTTTATAAATTCTAGTGAAACTCGCTTAGCAGTATCTCGGGTCATCACTTGGACAACAGAACCCAAAAGTTCTGATGTTCGGAAGGTATGTTTTAATACAAAGTTGAGAAGATAAATTGGGAAAGCAAGTCAGTCATTATGGATTGACAGTGAATGAAGCTAATATTTTCAGGACCATACCAGTTAGCAGTGAGTTATGAAGAACTTTTTAAAAAATATTTTAAGTTGTTTTAAATTGTATCCAATTAATATAAGCATAATTTTCAAACTTAGAATCAAAAATACCTACCCTTACAACAATCCTCTCTCTAATTTTATAACCATTCAAAAAATTCCAAATCATTCCCCCTGTGTTTACCTATACTTTTCAAATAAGAGCTTATACTGTTGTTTGATTTATCCATTTTTAGACATTTTTTAAAATCGATTGATAAATGTAGACATTTGGTATATCCATCTATCTTGGTAAGTGAGGACTTAGCTTTCTCAAACTTTCTGTATCCTTTCTAAGGTATTTATAAAATACATATGAATCAATTACTAGTTATTAGTAGAAAAGATTTACATTTGACTGTGCAGGTATTCACTTCTATACCAAGTGATTTGCGACTGCTTGCTTTCTTATAGATACATTATTTCTCCTGGAGTTGACAATTTGCCTTGCTTTTTCATTTGCCTAATATTTTTTTCTAAGTATAGTATTTTCAACACCTCGGCTACACATGTATGGCTGTTATTTTCCATATGCTCAAAAACATAGATTATTATTTTATTTTCTAGAGAGCTCCTTCCTGGACACTGTTCTTTTCTCCAGTTTTGACATTTTTCTCCTCAGGCCTGCTGTATACACATCTGCCTGCAATTTCTATGGAGTGTCTTCCTGAGACTTATCTTTATCCCTGTTTACATCTTTTTTTTTTTTTTTCTGAGACAGAGTCTCGTTTTTTAACCCAGGATGCAGTGCAGAGGCATGATCTTGGCTCACTGCAGCCTCTACCTTCTGATTCAAGTGATTCTCATGGCTTAGCCTCCCTAGTAGCTGGGATTACTGATGTGCACCACCACACTTGGCTAAGTTTTGTATTTAAGAGAGACATGATTTCATTATGTTGTCCAGGCTGGTCTTGAACTCCTGTTCTCAAGTGATCTGCCCACCTGGGCCTCCCAAAGTGCTGGAATTACAGACATGAACCACTGTGCCTGGCCTATTTCTTGCATCTTATATCTACTTCTATTTACTTTCTTTTCTGGTGAATCATTTCCATCAACATTTGCTGCAAAAGGAATACACATAGGCTGGACACAGTGGCTCACGCCTATAATCTCAACACTGGTAGGCTGAGGCAGACGGATTGCCTGAGCCCAGGAGTTTGAGATCAGTCTGGGCAACATGGTGAAACCCTAGCTTTACTGAAAATATAAAAAGTTGGGTGCAGTGGCATGTACCTGTAGCCCTAGCTTCCTGGGAGGCTAAGGTAGGAGGATTGCTTGAGCCCAGGATGTCGAGGATGCAGTGAGGCAAGGTTGTCACTCCAGCCTGTATGACAGAGTGAGACCCTATCTCAAAAAAAAATAAAGAGTTCACAGAGTATACATTTTTGTGATCTTTATTTCCAGTGATGAGCACTACACCCAACAGCAGAATATATATTCTTCTCAAGTACACATGGAACATTCTGCATGTTAGGCCATGAAACAAACCTCAATAGATTAAAATGATAGAACTAATACACAGTATGTTCTCTGACCACAGTAGAATGAAATTAGAGTCAATAACAGAAAGGAATTGGGAAAACCCACAAACAGCTCACTCTTAAGTAATCAGTGAGCCAAAGAGGAAATCAAAAGAGAAATAAGAAAATACACTGAGAAATACCTTGAGATTAATGAAAATAAAGACCAAAATGTATGGGATAAAGCTAAAGCGGTGCTTTGAGGGAAATTTATAGCTGTTAAGCCTACAATAAAAAGAGGAGGGCTGTCAAATCAGTCATTCAATTCACCACAATAAGACACTGCAAAAAGAAAAGCAAACTAAACCTGAAGACAGCAGAAGGAAGGATATAATCAAGATTAAAGCAAAAGAAATAAAGACTGGGAAAACCAATGAAACCAAAAGCTAGTTAGTTCTTTAGAAAGATCAACAAAATTGACAAACCTTTAGCTAAATGTATCAGGTTAAAAAGAGAGAACATTCAAATCATTAGAATTACAAATGTGGCTGGGTGTGGTGGCTCACGCCTGTAATCCCAACACTTTGGGAGGCCAAGGTGAGAGGATCACTTGAGGCTGGGAGTCTGAGACCAGCCTGGGCAATATGACCAGACCTCATCTATGCAAAAAAAAAAAAAAAATTCGAATTAGGTGAGTTTGGTAGTATATGCCTGTAGTCCCAGTTACTCAAGAGACTGAAGCAGGAAGATCACTTAAAGCCAAGGAGTTCAGGGGTGCAGTGAGCTATGATTGTGCTGCTGCACTCCAGCCTGGATGATAGTTAGACTCCCAACTCAAAAGAAAAAAAAGAAATGAAAAGAAACCTAAATCATTATCTATTCTAGTAGGAAATCACTAGAAAATGTCTCAAGCTAATAATGAAGAAATAATTGTATAAGTTTGTCAATCCTATCATTAAAAACAAGCATTACAAAAGGGAACTCTGGAGAGCTGAAAAAGGGTATTAAGATTTATAAAACGTTTCCTAAAACTTTTTAAAAATCTGTATGTATGTATTTGATTTAAAGACTTAAAAATTATTTTAATATAACTGCTGAGCTTATAAAAAAGGATTATAGAGAAATACTATGCATAATTATATGCCAGTAAATGAGGTAACTTAGATGAAATGGACAATTCCTAGAAAGATACAAACTACCAAAACTGACTCAAGAAGAAATAAACAGTATAAATAGAAATACAACAGGAAGTTGATTTAGTAATCAAAAACTATGCACAAGCCAGGCACAGTGGTTGACACCTGTAATCCTAGCACTTTGGGAGGCGAAGGCAGGTAGATTGCTTGAGCCCATGAGAAACCAGCCTGGGTAACATGGTGAAACCGTCTTTATACAAAAATATGTGTGGTGGCACATGTCTGTAGTCCCAGCTATTTAAGGGGCTGAGGTAGGAAGATCACTTAAGTGCTGGAGGTTGAGGTTGCAGTGAACTGTGATCATGCCACTGAACTCCAGCCTGAGTGACAGAGCAACACCACATCTCAAAAAAATGAATACATAAAATAAAACTGCACAAAGAAAAGCCCAGGCTCAGATGGCTTTGTTGGTGGTATATATCATCAAACATTAATATCAATTCTTCACACATTCTTCCAAACAGAAGAGGAAAGAACACTTCCCAGTTTATTCTGTGAGAGCAGTTTTATCCTGATACCAAAACTAGACAGAGATATCAGACATCAAAAAAACACCACAGACCAGCATCTTTTTATGAAGATGGATGCCTTAATCCTCAATAAAATGCTGGCCAGCCAAATTTAGCAACGTATATAAAAGAATTATATACCAGGACTGTATTAGTTCATTTTTATGCTGCTGATAAAGACATACCTGAGATTGGGCAATTTGTAAAGAAAGAGGTTTAATTGGCCTTACAGTTTCATGTGGCTCAGGAAGCCTCACAATCATGGTAGAAGGCAAGGAGAAGCAAGTCACGTCTTACATGGATGGCAGCAGGCAAAGAGAGAATGAGCCAAGTAAAACAGGTTTCCCCTTATTAAACCATCAGATCTCGTGAGACTTATTCACTACCACAAGAACAATGTGGCAAAACCACCCCTATGATTCAGTTATCTCCCATGGGTCCCTCCAACACTTGGGAATTATGGGAGTATAATTCAAGATGAGACTTGGGTGGGGACACAGAGCCACGCCATATCAATGACCAATTGGGATATTTACCAGGAATGCAAGATTAGATTAACATCCAAAAATTGATATAATACACTATATCAATAGTAAAAACACAAAAACCACATAATTATCTCAGTAGATACAGGAAAGTAAAACACTTAAAAGAAAACAGGAATATTCATGACCTCAGATTTGGCAGTGGATTGTTATATATGGTATCAGAAGCATAGGCAACAAATGGAAAAACAGATAAGTTGGAGTTCATCAAAATTTAAATTTTGCAATATTCCAAGAACAAGAATACTGATGTGACTGGAAATCATTGGCACATTTTTAAGTCACATAGTAATTATGTTTTTAAAGATTATGCTGTCTGATGTGACAAAAATGGACTAGTGTAAGGGAGAAGAAAGAGGAAAAGGTAAAGCTGATGCTGAAAGGAACCTAAGTCGCATCTGTTTTAGGAAATCACTAGAAAATGTCTCAAGCTGATAAATGAAGAAATTAGTATAGAAATAGACAAATAGGTCAATGGAACATGAAGGAAGGTCCAGAGACACTTAGGTTTATATAGGAGATTAGAAGTGTCACTTCACGAGGAAAGGATCATTGGTATATGGTTTGGGAGCAATTGAGATGTCTGTCCCTATGGGAGAAATAAAGCTGAATCTCTAAACCAAAGTAAACTAGATGAACTAAAGTACATATTCTAGCACATTTTTTTTTGAGACTGAGTCTTACTCTGTTGCCCAGGCTGAAGTGAAGTGGCACGATCTCCGCTCACTGCAACTTCTGCCTCCCAGGTTGAAGAAATCCTCTGGCCTGAGCCTCCCAAGTTGCTGGGATTACAAGTACACACCACCACACTCAGCTAATTTTTGTATTTTTAGTAGAGACAGGATTTCACCATGCTGGCCAGGCTAGTCTCGAATTCCTGACCTCAAGTAATTTGCCCGCGTCGGCCTTCCAAGGTGCCGTGATTACAGGTGTGAGCCAACGTGCCTGGCCTGTTACAGAAGTAATCCTATAGTTTTGTCTTCAGCAGTATGTAATAGATGTTTCTCAATTTCTACATTGAGAGCTGTGTCATCTTCCAAGACTGTGTTGTATAGTATTCCATTGTTCCAGTATAACATAATTTATTCCCCTAGTGTTGTATATTCAGATGTATTTTTCACAGAGTGGGTTCAGCAAGGTCCAAAATGAAGTGTGCAGATGTGGATACTTGTGTCATGTGATTATAAATGATTTGAGTTTCTCTCTTCCTTAATTCTCTATATAATTTGAATTTCAAAGTAATGCAGTTGATTACTTCATAAGCAGAAAAGAATTGTATAACTTTTCTTAACTAATCTGAGTAAGCTTTACGTTGTTCCCATTTCCACAGAACAAACTTACTTTAACTTCAAATTGTAGACTTGTTAGGTTAACTGCTTTT